GGTGGTGGGGGTTTGGAGGGGCAGGGCAGGGTGCTGGGCGTCAGAGGGGGGGGGGGGGGGGGTGGGGGGGGTAGGGGGGGGGGTGGGGCGCTGGGGGGGTTGGAGGGGTGGGGCACTGGGGCTGGATCTAGTTTGCGGCTCATTGGCTCACACTCGCTACCTTTCAGCCTTTGGGACGTGGCCCAGAAGTCTCTCTACCTGCGGAACAATCAGCTGGTCGCCGGCTATTTGCAAGGCTCCAACTCTGCGCTGGAAGGTGAGTCGCGCCCGCTGCCCCCTTGCTGCCCCTGCCCTGGGCAGGCCAGGGCCTGGGAGCCTCCCGGGCAGACCCTGTGCTGGGCACCGTGCCACCACCCTCGCCTGGCAGCCAGAGCCTCCGGCTGTGCCCGCCCTGCCCTGGGTGCCTCAGCACAGCTCCATCTCCCCGGCACTTTCGCTCGGCTCCCCTGAGCTCCACACAGTTTGCAGCCATTGAGCAACGATGCTAGAGCTGGGCCGCACCCCCTGCTGGAACGCCAGCCCCCCATGGCCCCAGGGCCAGCAGCATGGACCCCCCGTGACCCCAGGGCCGGCAGCACGGACCCTCCAGGGACCCCAGGGCCGCAGCGCGGACCCCCCGTGGCCCCAGGGCCAGCAGCGCAGACCCCCACTCCTGCTTGCTCTGCTAAGCGCTAATCAGGCCAGTCTGGTTTTATTCCCAATGCGCCCAAACTGGCCCCTTTTGCATGCCAAGGGCTCTGGCCTCTAGGTCACATGGGTGGTCTGAAAGCCAGCCCGGCTCTCCCACCCTGGGACTCGCTGGGGACTCTGCCAGGGTGGTATTTTCAGCTGATGGGCGAGGGGGCGGCTCGGCCCCAGCCCTGCTCTGGGGGCGGGTGGATCTGTCCTAGGGCTCACCCCCTCTTTCTCCCCACAGAGAAGATTTACTGTGTCACCAACCGCTTCTTCAAGCCGGAGAAGTTCCCCATCATCCTGGGCATCCAGGAGGGGCGCCGCAGCCTAGCGTGTGGGACGGGCGCCTCGCCTGTGCTGCAGCTGGAGGTGAGTGGGGACCCCCCTCAGATCTCCGTGTCCTACGCCCCCTTCCCCCCTCCCTGGGGCTCCATTCCCCCGGCCCAGGCCTAGCTGCAGCGCAGGCTGGTTGTGGGTGCTCCCAGACCCCCCTGCTCCACTGGAGTCCAGATCTCTGCCCGTCACCAGTCTGAGCGTACAGACCAGCCCCCGGCCCTGGCTGGCCCCCGCGGGAGAGTCTCCGTCCCTCACCAGCCTCTCCCCACCTGCACAGGACATGAACATCACGGAGCTGTCCCGGGGCGGCAATGAAACCACCCGCTTCATCTTCTTCCGCTCCTACAAGGACGGCATGTGGCGCTTCGAGTCGGCCGCCAACCCGGGCTGGCTGCTCTGCACCTCGGCCCAGTCCAACGAGCCCCTGGGCCTCACCTTACACCAGGACGCAGCCCACATCGTCGACTTCTACTTCCAGCTGTTCTGAGCCCAGCCGCCCGGGAGGTGTGCCCCGGCCCCTGGCTGCTGCCAGCCCAGCCTCGCCCCTGGCTGCGTAGGAGACCAGCTGGGTCGGGAAGGGCTGCACGACCTCTCCCCTGACCCAGCCACAACCAGCCAGGGTTGTGTTCCTAGGATTCCTGGGTCCCAGCAGGAGGGCCCCGGGGCCTGATCCTGCCGGGGAACTGAGCGTCCGCCCGGTGGGAATGTTTCAGGGCACCCAGCCCCTTGTAGAGCCAGGCTGTGCACTTCAGCCAACGTGCCCGGAAGGGGGCCCCGATCCTGGGGGCCCGTCTCCAGTGCCGTGGAGCCTGGCATGGCTATCCAGGACACCCAGCCTTTTCCAAAGGGGCCTGTGGGCGTCCAGCGGCAGGATGGCCCAGCAGTTAGAGCACTAGCCGGGGACTTGGGAAACCCTGCTCTGCCAGACTCCCTTGGGCAAGTCCCGGAGCCGCTCCGTGCCTCGGTTTCCCCCTCTGTACAATGGGGCCACCAGCCCGGCCGTGTCTCCCGGGGCATGTGAGGGTAAATCCACTGCCCATGGACGAATCCCAGAGTGTGCGGGTGTCTGCCCACGTGCCACGTCAGCACCGTTCTGGCTCGGCTCGGTGTCTCCTGGCGGTTCTGCTCTGCACGGCTAGGGAAGGGCCGAGTGCCCCGGGAGGGGATCTGGGTGCACCCCCTCGCTGTGTGAATAGCTTGTCCCACCAGAGAGCTCTGGACCCCCCCAGCCCCAGCCTGGCTTTGAATAAACGTGGAAAGTAGCTACTCATGCCTGAGCGACACTGTTGAGTTGAGATGCACCCGCCCCCCTCTGGGCCCAATTCCCATCAAACGCCCCGGCTGGGCCCTGCTGGAGCCGTAAGGCCAGGCACCCCGTTTCCCAGAGCCCGGGGCTGCCACCCCCCTCCCCCAGCCTGCTCCCCACGGCTTCCAGGCTGGATAAACACGGGGCTGGTTCCCCACAGGGCTTAGCTGGAGTAAGGAACGAAAGAGCCAACGGCGAGCCGGACTCCTGGGTTCCATTCCCTGCTCAGCCACCCACTCGCTTCCCCACTCCGTGCCTCAGTTTCCCCAGCAGTCACATGAGACTAGTGCTCCAGGTCTAGGATGACCAGACAGCAAATGTGAAAAATCGGGACAAGGGGTGGGGGGCAATAGGAGCCTATATAAGAAAAAGACCCAAAAATCGGGACTGTTCCTATAAAATCGGGACATCTGGCCACCCTATCCAGGTCTATGGCCAGGCCCCCAGCTGGTGTCAATGGGTGCTGCTCCATCGGAGTCAAGGGGGCTGCGCCAGTCACAACTCCCACGCATACAGTGCTCACTCCGTGTTACCGCCCTCCCGGGGGATGGCACCTGCAGAGGAGAGCTGGCATGTTCCAGCTCTCCTCGCTCCCTAGGCCCGCGCGGAAGATGTTCCCCTGCAGGGAAAGTGCCCCGTGCACTCTACCATCCCAGCTTTACGGGAGGGCATGAGAGCAATATGGAATAAGCCTGTTGAACACGGGGGCTAGTGCGTGGTGGGGTGGGGGGCAGAGGAGCTGCCCCAGGGAATGGGACTGGCCAGGTACCAAAACCAGGGGAAGGGATTTTATACAATGTACCTCCAGCCTGGGGAACTCACTGCCGCATGGTGTCATGGAGGCCAAGAGCTTAGTGAGGTTCCACCAAGGACCTGTTTCTCCTGAGTGAGACTGTCCAGAGCTACAGGAGAGGGGCTAATGCAGCAGCTGGGATCTGAGCCCCTTGCCCCTGGGTCTGACAGGGTCAGGGAGAAACAGCTCCCGGGGCGGTGGTTCTGGAATGGCCCCTCGCAGGGGCTCTCTGGAGCAGCTGGGAGTGGCCCCATGGCAGACAGGCTACGGATTGAGCTGGGCATGGGTGCGACGTCCGTGCCCATTGGGGATGGAGTCTGGGAAGGCGCATGGCACAGACGTCACTGCCGATAAACCAGTTAGGCCAGTTTGCAGGCAAGGGACTGGGGCAAGAGAGGGGAGTGCGTGTGCTGCACCCAGCCCCAGGCAGCCCCTCGGCGTCAGTGGGAGCGCTGGGCACATGAGGAACATGGGGGGTAGCACCCCCAGTGAGCTGTGGGGACTGCCTGGGGAGCTGGGCACCCGAGGTTGCAGACGGACCCTGCTGCTGGCCAGGGGCTTCCCAGGCCTCCCCAGGACACACACGTCCTTCCTTGTGGGTTTATTCCCCTCGTGGGCTGCTCCTCCAGCCCCCCATCAGTGGGGAACCAGCGAGCCTGCCCCAGCGTTTGGCACGAAAGGCCAATGGCTCAGGGAAAACCAGGAGCCTTTCCCAGCCAGCTCTGCCCACAGCTCGGGCGCCCATCCTGGGAACCAGGGTGTGGCTGAAATCCAGAGGGGGCTGGGGACACTCGATGCACCCGGATGGGGGTGGGAGAACCAGTTCATTTGAGGAGGGGCCTCTGCTCGCGCTGTGCGTGGTGGGCCAGCCCCACGGCAGCTGGGGCATTTCACCCATCATTGCGCCCTGGTCCCCCTGAGGCAATGCCGCCCACGGCTCTGGCATCACGCCGGGACCAAGCTGCACCCACAGCCCGCTTGGCAGGTTCCCTTAATTCCACCCACTGACGTGGCAGCAGCAAGATTTCAACATCCCCCAGCTTCCGCAGCTGCCTCCTCCTGGCCTGAGGTGGGGACTGGCCCAGCATGAGCCAGCTGCACGTGCAGGGTCCCTCGCCATGCCTGGGGCTCCGTACTGGACTCCCCAACTCTGCATGCTCCTGACACCCCAAGTACCCCTCCCCACGGATCTGCGATAGCACCAGCCGCAACGGGGGGCAGCTGGCTGGGGACAGCTGGGTTCATGACACAGGCGCTGGGCTGCAGCTGAGCTGAGCTGGGTTCTGTGTCAATCTGTCTGGGCCTCAGTTTCCCCATCTCGGTTGGGGTCTGCACAGCCCCAAGCATGACAGGGCCCTGATCTCAGGGGGGGGGGTCTGGGCAGCGCCCGGCAGAATGGGGCCCTGATCTCGGGCGGGGTTTGGGCAGCATGCGGCATGACGGGGTCTCAGGTCTCTATCTGAGGATTCCTGCATTGGGGTTTCCAGACTGACCCAATTCCTGCCCATATGTCACTCAGTTCATGAGCTCTCCCCAGCCCTCTCGTCCGGGACTGGGTGTTGCCCCTTCCTGGAAGTCGCCATGTGTCAGCCGAATTTGCATGTTACATCAGCGCTGTCCTCTACCAGGCCCATTATCCCAGGTGTAACCGTCACTCCCTGCACGGCAGGGCCCATAAGTAGCTGTGGAGCGGCACGTTCCAGAGCTCACAGGAACTTGTGGACTGCAGGTACCGCTCTCCCCCGGGTGCTCAGTGCCACGGGCCTCCTCTGCCAGCTCGCTGCCCTGGCGCCCGGTGTGTCCTCTGCTTTTTCTTCTGGCTGGGATGGGGGATGGGCATACAGGGCGGGGCAGGAATCCAGTGCTCCACCGGGTGGGCACTGGGGCTGGGTTCAGCTAGGATTACCAGCTGCTGGCTGAACAGAGAGCCCTTTGCAGCCTTCATGGCTGGGAGTTACCTGGGCACAGGTGCCTGCCAGGGCTGGCCCGGGCCCAAGCCCAAAGCCTTTGGCATCATCGGCAGGTCTCCCCTTGGGTTGGCACCTCAGCTGCTGTAAAGCAGCAAAGCTCCACCAACTCCCCTGGGCTCAGGCCCCCATGGTCAGAAAGAATGCCTAGGAGGCCTATGAGCTGCCACCATCTCGCACAGCCAGGTGTTCACTCTGAAACCTAGTGATGGCCTCAGGCATGTTGCCATTGCGGATTAATGTCTCTGCTGTTGCACATGCATCCGTCCTGGGACTGTGGGCAGCTCCTGGCACTATAGGCTGTGTTGGAGAAGGATGCCCCAATCTGAATTCCGGCTCCCTGGTTAAAGACACACTGATGCAGCCCATCTCAAAGCTCCATTGTTGGGGCTCGGTCCCAGCCGCAGGCAGGGTCAGACCTTCATGATAGCCAGGAATCCTGCTCATTCCTGACTGACGCCAGGTGCCAGCCTCTCTCTCCCCCAGGCCCAGCC